AAGTTCACCCAACTTTTATGTCGTGTAGAATTCTCTGTGTCTGCAGCAGTCGATTTTCTTGGGACGTTGTTGCAGAGGCGAAAACCGTTTCATGGAAAGCAAACAATGGCGAATATCGTCGCATACTAAAGGATTGGTAACATTTGAGGGAAATAAATGTAACTCGTAGGTAGCATAAAAATTGATTAAGCCGGACTTCTTTGAATTTTCTTATTATGTTAGCTGACTAACAGTTTTCGGTGACTGCGTCATGGGTTGGGGAGTTTGAGAACATTGAAATAAATGATGTCACCACGATTGAAGTCTCTCTCTCAGTAAATTAGTCAAGTGAAGTTTTCTTGATCAGAATCTACAATAGCTGATACACCATTGCGGTGCTCTTGTTTAATTCCAAGACTCCAGGTACGTTTCAGGTAAGGCTTTAGTCGATGCAGGTTGTATATTATGGTTTGACTGTTTGAAAATAATGTTTTCTCAAGAGTTCTGCAAGACAAGTTTCTGAGGTTGGAGATAAATCCGTCGATTAGCTTAATCTCATACCGAATCCTATCTTATCATTTCCCCTCCGTCTACGGGTTCTTTTCTTGTTCAAATTGCCTATAAATGCTGTAATCATTAGATCATTAGTGTTACTATCAATATCATTTTTCACATTTAAGCACTCAAATGGAGATACTTTACATAACTGTAGGTCGCTTCTAACTTTTAATGACATTTTAATGTAGTGAATTCTTTGTAACCCGTAAGATCCTGTGTAAGACGTTTCAGCAAGCACCCCTATCTAGTTACGATTGGTCTTGTCAGTTCATTTTCTGTATAAATTCCGCTTTAGTTGACGCAACTAGTCATCCGAAGTTCTAACGCATATCCTCTTAAGGATATCTTAGCCCAGTTTTGGTAGTAAAATTGGAAGCTTTGACTGCGATTTTTCTCCCATATAAGCCAAGAGAGTGTAGCGTGGCGTTGAGTCGAGATTGACTATGAACACCGCTACCAAAAAACACGTGCCAAGAAAATCAGAAGGCGAAGGTTGAACGTAACCAGATTTATTCGGTTGGCGATCTCGTGGTATCGAATGAATACCGAGATCGTGCCAAGAACGGTACAAGCAAAAGCAGGAGAACGGAGTACGTGCGAACAGTACCAAAAACCGCGGAACAATGATGGAAGGTAATGGAAGCACAAAATGGCTACAATTAGCACAGTTAAACAAAAGCACATTAAAACAAACACTGGTACAGCTGGTTATGATAATAGTTGTTTTTATTAAACCAGTCGTGTTCTCGTGATAAATGTGAGTCACTACAGGAGCCCCTCGCTAGAAAGGGTTTACACTTTCGATAAATAGCGGTTTAAATCGTGGGACTGATCGGCTGACGAGCGATTGTAGGACGGAAGAATTGGCGAACAGGAAAGCGATCTTTGATCGTCGAGTTGCCAACGAAAGTCGTTTTCGGAGAATGGTACCAGGAGCGATGTGCTGTATTTGTTGCTTGAGTTGACATGCCACACCAGAGTGGTTTGTATCCAAAATCTGAAGATTGCGTTCGTAGGGGTCCGGAACGCTGCAGACGTAGGACGAAACCACGTTGAGCCGATGAACCAGAAACAACCATAACGACAAAGTTCGAAGCCAAGCGTATGCCAAACATTCGAAACGAAAATATCGACTGAAAACGTTGACAAGAACGTGGGTGATCAGGCCAGCTTTCGCCAAAGTTGACTGAAGTCGACGGAACCAAACGGAGATGGTCGAAGGTGTGGGCTCAGGAAATAAAAAGAAAATCAAAAAAGAATAGTGTAGCATGTGTGCAGTATAGGAATAATCCTACACCGTACCGGTTGCTGACTGTGTGACTAGTCGCGGAAGCGTACTGGCAACCGTACTCGACGATCGGAACTTGAGACGGTAGTCTCGTTTGTATCGCGTGAGCCTGCAATCTCATCCGAGATCAGAGGCGGCGTAGTCTGCCGACCTGGAAGTGAGACTGTTGTCTCGTCCATAGACAGTGCAGATGATGCGTGCTGTTAACCGGGACGTGAGAATGAGGTCTCAGGTGCATCTAGGGTGGGATCTGAAAAAAAATTTAAAGATCCCACTAGGTTTGATAGGTCTGGCGTTGAATCTCAAGTTGTCAGATAGGGCACTGTCATCGAAGTGTGCTGATTTGAGACGATCAATACTGACGATCTCGACGCGGCCGTGTCAATCAACCTTGAAGGTCTTTTCGTGACGAGCGATCACGCGAAAAGGGCCTTCGTAAGGTTGTTGCAAAGGTTTGCGTACCGAATCTACTCGTTTGGAAACACGTAAACAGGTAGATAACTCTCGAGGGAGAGCGACCTGTCGATCTGGTATTCGAGTTGACACCGGAGACAGCGTTCGCATAAATGCAGACAGTCGATGGACGTAGTCTGATTTATCGAAATTAGGTCTGCTCCGTGGTGTGAAGAATTGTCCGGGCAGACGCAATGTCGTGCCGTATACAAGTTCAGCGGCGGAACATTGGATATCTGCCTTTAAGCTCGTTCTGATACCTAAAAGAACGAGCGGTAAGGTTTCGTACCGGTCGTCGTTTTCGTGTGCTCGTCGAGCACTTTTAAGTTGACGGTGAAATCTTTCAACTAAACCGTTTGAAGCTGTATGGTAGGCGGTAGTGCGTATGCGTTCCGTACCAAGCAGCCGAGTATGTGAGGAAAATAGTGCGGCCTCAAAGTGTTGTTCTCGGTCAGCCGTGACAGTCGAGGGACAACCGTATAGAGCTATCCATCGTTCTACGAAGTGGTGAGCAACTGTCTCCGCCGTGATAGACGTGATGGGTATAGCTTCGGGCCATCTGGTGAAGCGATCGATGCACGTGAGTATGTGATCATACCCATGCGATAGTGGCAGTGGTCCTACTATGTCTAAGTGAACGTGATCGAAGCGAGCATCAGCCGTAGCAAAAGTGCCAAAGGGGGCGGTTATGTGCCTGTGCACTTTTGATCGTTGACATTGTAAGCATTTCTTCATGGACGGCCAGACGTATCGTGCAGCAATGAGACGTAATGTGTCTGCGATGCCTGGGTGAGATAATCCATGCAGGGCATCGAAGACGATACGGCGATAAGCAGAGGGTACGATGGGTCGAGGAAGACCGGTAGAAGTATCGCATAGGATGGTGACAGAAGTCGTGGCTAGAGGTACTTCCTGATACTGAAGGGACGTAGAGTATGGTGCTTTGGTACAACTGGGATCGTTTGCTTAGGCAGCGGCCATAGCAGTAAGATCGAGCACCAGCATCAACCGCCATACTAAACGTGGCTGATGGATCGGGATGGGCGAGAAGAGTGGGTTGCGCGAGAGCCGTTTTGATCTCTGTGAATGCAGCACGTGCAGAATCGTTCATTTATAATCTGCGTGGGTTGACGCGAAGTAGGTCGGTTAGTGGTCGTAACCGTTCTGCCGCGTGTGGGATGAAGCGACGGTAGAAGTTAACCAAATCGAGAAAAGCCTTCAGTTCCTTGAGTGAGGATGGAATGTTGTACTCCTTTATTGCTTGCACTTTGTCCTCACAAGGTAGAATACCCTCTCGGTTGATAACATGACCCAGAAATATTATTTCTCGTTTACCCAACTCGCATTTGTCTGGGTTAACTACTATTCCATTATCCGAAAGACGTTGGAATAATGGTGTAAGATGTTGGTAATGTTCATCTACGTTTGATGATGCTATTAGCAGGTCATCAATATAGACGTAAACAAAATCTAGGTCTCGAACAATGCTATCGATAAACCTTTGAAACGTTTGAGCAGCACTCCGTAATCCAAATGGCATTCGTAGGAACTCAAACAAACAGACAGGAGTCGTGATAACAGTTTTTCGATATCTTCAAGAGCGACTGGGATCTGATGATATGCTCGTACCAGATCGATCTTGGAAAAGATAGTCGTGCCCTTGAGCGATGCCGTGATGTCGTGTGTGTGGGGGGTGGGGCAGCTATCAAAGCGCGTAACTACGTTTAGAGCTCGGTAGTCGTCACACGGTCTTTAACTAACCCCATCCTTTTTGCGCACCATGTGAAGAGGAGAGACCCATGGACTGTGAGAAGGACGAATAATATCAATAGCTAGTTAATTGTCAAACTCACGCTTAGCAAAAGCTAATTTGTCCGGTGCCAGTCGGCGAGGTCGAGCCGTGACTGGAGGTCCGCGGGTGACTATGTGGTGTACCACACGACTGGTCACCGATGGAAGCTCCTCGAATGGTTTAGTGAGTACGGAGAATTTCTCGAATAAAACATGAAATTTATCGTCACGCGAGTAAAAAGTGCCGAGGATTCGGTACGCGTTCATGTGGGCTTCACAGCCCATGAATTTGCTGTTCGACGAAGTATCGATTAGCTGCAGCCTACGTGAATCGACAAGCAATTCATAGTGCTGTAGGAAATCGATACTTAGTATAGCTGTGGGAACATCAGCAATGATGAACGTTCACAGATACCGTCGTCGGTTGCCCAGGTTGACCGCGAGTTGTCGTGTACCGTAGGTAGGAATGACTGAGCCATTCGCAGCACGTAGTCGAAGCACTGTGGCTTGTGACTTGCTGCTACCTCGTGGTACGTCAGAAACTTGGGCCCCAGTGTCTACCAGGAACCTAGCGTTTGTGCGGTAATCGTGCACATAGAATAAACGACCAACCTGGGGTGAAGGGCCGGCGAGTACGGCCGCTTTTACTCGCCGGCGCTAGCATTTCCCGCCTTGTATGAGCATGGTGCTCGACAACGGCGGGCGCCAGACCCGAAGGACCTATGGAACCAGCACCAACTGTCACTCGCTTCCGAAACCGCCTTTCGGCGTGGCTTGTGAGATGCCCTTTTTGGGCGAGTGGTGACGGGTTTGCGAGAACTTGAGCGAGCTCGGGGGACGTAGGGTTGGAGTACGTTACAACGGTCTTGAAAACTAAGACGTGTGTGGATACACTCGTCCCTGTCGCCATGAGCTGAGGAATGACTGACGTTCATGTCTACTTTAGGACGTGCCGTTGAAGCAACTACATAGCTGTCTCTATTACTAGTCCTCGCCAAAATTTTGTCTGCTATGAAAGCTACCTGGTTAAGCGGTGATTCCTCGAGCAGTGCCGTCACAGTAGTTTGGATATGAGCTGGTAGTGACTCGAGCCACAATTCCTTAACTATTTCCGAGTCAGATGCTGTTGGTCCTGCAAGGGATTGCAGGCACGTGAGGTGGTGGCTAGGTTTATCACCATCCAGGAAGTGACGTGCTAACAATGTCCTCAATCGTTCATCCCTCGATGGGAGGAAATGTCGGAGAGTTGCCTCTTTGAGGCGATCATAAACATTAGGCACGTTGGAAATGAGGACGACCTCACGAACAGCTACTAAATGGTCCCAGGGTAATGATTCGAGAGCAATGCCGTACGTTTGCCTTTGGCTCGTAATGCGATGAGTCTCAAACTGGGACTCTGATGCAGCAAACCAAACCTCTGGGTCGTGGGGAATGAATGATATAGGTCGAAAGTGACTGGCCTGTACGTCTGAGTCTATAACATTAATAGTACTCTTGTCGCTATCCATCATGTCGTGTATATTATATATTAAAAATTAATATGAAAATATACGACAGACGTGGATAGATAAACTATAGACTCACCGAAATGGCTTCTGTGGAAGATTTCACCAGAAGTTGAGGCGTGTTCCAAACTTTGGGATCACCAATTGTAGCGTGGCGTTGAGTCGAGATTGACTATGAACACCGCTACCAAAAAACACGTGCCAAGAAAATCAGAAGGCGAAGGTTGAACGTAACCAGATTTATTCGGTTGGCGATCTCGTGGTATCGAATGAATACCGAGATCGTGCCAAGAACGGTACAAGCAAAAGCAGGAGAACGGAGTACGTGCGAACAGTACCAAAAACCGCGGAACAATGATGGAAGGTAATGGAAGCACAAAATGGCTACAATTAGCACAGTTAAACAAAAGCACATTAAAACAAACACTGGTACAGCTGGTTATGATAATAGTTGTTTTTATTAAACCAGTCGTGTTCTCGTGATAAATGTGAGTCACTACAAGAGAAAGGTTTTCGATTGAGAATTCTTCCCTCATAACAGTGTACGGATGTTTCTCTGCTAAGTTTTTGACTTCAAAATCTTGAATAATTCCAGTTCTTTGATGAGTTTGGAGAACGTAGCTTCAGTATATGTGTATGAAACAAATCATCTATTTTTTTCGGTTTTGAGAGAACAATTTCTAAAATATTTAACCATGAAGATGGCACAGGTATTCAGTGTTTGGCAACGCTTTTACCAGTAACACCTATTATAATATATATACCCACCAAGAGAAATCAAAAGACAAAATCGAGGAGGTCAGAAGTTTTATTTGACGATTGTCAATATATCGAAATTGTCTGATCTAGTCTGGCTAGCGATTGCAGTAGATGTTGAGCACGGCGTTCTCACACGTGATTTGGTGCGGATGCATGACCGAGCGCCTTCAGCTAGGTGAGTCCATTAAAACATGTGGTCAGCATCCAATGTCGAAAACTTACATAGGTATTTATTTTGGGGATTTATTAACCGCTACAACTAAAACAGCAGGACACCAAAAAATGTTTAAAGTTAAGATTATAAAAAGTACAAACTTCCAGTAAAAACAACCCCCTTAAAATAATGGTATTCATGATGACATGAGTTCCTTCTTTAACAAACACTCGCGAAGAATCTTTGTTAGTATCCGACAATCGACCTAAAACGGTACACTCTTAAATAACTACATGCTTCCGAAAAGGACTGAACTACCACTATGTGAAGGGAATTTCCTCAGTACATCCGTTTTTGTGTATTTTACTATAATTTGAAGCTAACTGGTTGCATTCTCAACCTTAATTGTATCCAAAAAAGTAGTAATAAAACTTACTTCAAATCAACTCACATGTATTTTTACTGAAAAGTGAAACAAAAATCAAATTATTTTTCATATGCCTAAGTATATGTATTTATTTGTCTTACAAAACACCACAACAAACAACCTTTAAATGTGTAATTTTTGTTTTTGATGTCGCATGATATTTATACACGTATATACCGATTATTTCTCATCGTTTGCTTGTTTACACAAGCACAGGTGTATTTTGACATGTACTTATGTTTTCAGTGCTTTATTTTTTTCAAATCACTGTGCATTTATTTATTAGTATGTAGCCATGTCTCCTTGGTGTAGAAAAAGACGACCAGATACGGCAAGTCATTAAGGAGTGTTTGCCAACGGCTAGCACTAATTGACAGCCGTTCGTTGCCGTGCAACTGTGTTGAATTTGTTGTTTGGCTCCGTAATATCACATTCGTTTGGTGTCACTTACTATATTTTGAAAGTATTAGGATTCAGTGATTTCAGTATCGTCGGAAAAGATAATTTGCAAGTCACATTAATATAGTAACCTAGGTACCTCCAGCAAGCACTATTTCCGTTCACATTAGTGATTATTAATTTGTCCTTGTCCTTTGTTTATGTGCAACAAGGAACTACAATGTCTGCGTACGTGAAATAAAATTAATCTTAATACACAAAAACCCGGTATATTAAAACCCTATAATACAGCTTGGTAAAGTCATTGACGACCGTCTTTATGAGAACTTTATGGTTCCTCAAGGCACACCGCCCATTTCTGGTCATGTTTATCAACTACTGAGGCATGGATAATCTTTTTTGAAGCCAAAGTGGTCTTGTGGAATTACGGAGATTCAGTTGTTGATGCTATTAATTGAATTGAAGAGAACGGGAAAGAAAATAGAGAGCGATTGCAATAACAATAAACTTGGAGGAATTATGAAGCACGTTCAGGACAACTTAGGGAAGATGTGTAAATCATTTGCTTAATGTATGGTTTTCGTGTTTAATGAGGGCACTCTGTAACTTCTCATTGAAAAATAAGTCGGTTCTGCGCACCTTGAGACCGTTTCACCATAAACCAAATGCAAGGTAATCGGACCAGTCAAAACAAGCGTATGTGGGGAGTGTAATTGAACACAAATGTATATATTATCCAGATTTAAAGGCGATATGATAATACATAAAACAGACGGTCATCGCGCACACTTTTACACTCGTACGTAAACAAATAAATCTGGTTTAACGTCTCTACGTTTTTCAAGTAAGTAACGAAAGCGTAGTCGCATTTATGCGCCACTCATTTTCCGTTCATACCAAGATAGGTTTTACGTATTCATGAATAACGTGAGACGCACCTAAATTGTAGTAGAATGAACTATTTGTCTGTTACTGTGTGAAGTGTTTTAATGTATATGAGTATCCGAAACATCTTGGAAATGATTAGATGTCCTCAAAGTCATTTTCATTAATGGGGATGCTTTGCCATTCAACCGAAGTCTCAGGACAGCATACCCTATCTGTCACTTGATTTATGTATAAACATGCACTAAGGGAATCCTAACGAGTCATACTGATGCTTAGTCCATAAGATATAGGGAGAAAACAGCTTTTGTAGTTAATTTTCTGACAATTTGTACATTTAAACAGTGCTAAGGCTTGTTCGTATGGTAAAGAGGGATCCCTTCTATTTACTGTTGTCTTCTATGTAGTGTCAAATATATGACCAAGGAACCAAGAGTCCCCTACCAGGACGAAACAGACGTCCAGTGCTTCCATCTTTTCTATGGTGATCTAGCTTATATTGACTAGTGAATTCAATTATTAAAATTGCTAAAATCTTCACAAAAACCCCGTTCTGATCATAATTATTAATTTGTACATCGAATATGATTTATTAAACGCATATTTAAAACTCATTTGTGGAGGTTCGGTTTTCGGTGTGAACTCCGCCTGGAGTCCGTCAGGGGTCTACTCCCGGTCCTAAACCCGGATGAGGGAGTGGGGCTGAGCATGTGGTTAGCGACCCCATCCCGTAGAAAATTAACTCGCTAAAAAACGCTAACCAAAAAAAACGCTAACCAAAAAAAACGCTTAATCAAACTAGGATTCACGGATATCCAAATGACGAGATCCAAACAGGAATAAACAAGTATTCTGGATTTCATTGCTAGTCACTATCATGCTTAGCCTAAAGTTGTTTATCTTTATATTTAAAAAATGACTTTAAACAACAACAAAATCAAAAATTTTTGTAAGGCTTAAGTCAGATCATGATGTAAATTATTGTCATATAGAACAATCTTGAAAAAAACTCTCATTTTAACGGTAATTAGCTACCACTAAGTGATCATAATAAGAATTCCTAAAGTTCTAGTAAGAAACTGTGTCCAGTCGATTCAAGTTGAGTATAAGACAGTAGTTTATAGATATTCGGTGAATACAACTTCGAATTGTTTATTAGTTAGAATAGAAAATTGTATTTAATATATTCCAAATTACAGATTTTAATCCATCATATTTGTCACGAGAATTGAGGGTATTAGGTTGTTTTGTGTGAAGTTATCCACATCGATTAGTGAAGTGTCACAAACTATGATTATAAAGAAGGCACGAATCGAGCGAAGAAATTTCTTTTTCAATTATTTTCTCATCATGACTTCACAATCATATATGTATATGATTTGCAATAATGAAATGATACTCATCGAGTGGATACGTTACATGAGAATTATGTGATGACATTTCGATCATAAATTAACATTGAGTAATTGAAAGAAAAAGGATTAATCATAATCAAAGTAGTTATTCGAAAATCTAGAAGTTGCTACACTGCATAATATATATAAAAAGAGAAGAAACAGAATATTTTGATGAGTGGTCAGTAGGATAGTAGTTATGTAAGAGCCAAGAGACGAATGTTGAGAATAAGTAAAATACAAATTTTAAAAAATGGAAGAAATACGAAAATAGTTTATCAAAGTTCTGCTACAAACGCCCCTATACTGATAGCCAAGTTAGCGAGAGTGTTTGTACAAGCTTCTTTTGGATGCAAAGGTTAGGTTTGTGAACATGGATTGCAATGGCTTCAGCAATGTGCAAAAGACACACACGTAACCTATGTGGCAAATTTGATGGAGTATGGCAGATAACCTTAAAAGCTTTATTCAGTTCAACTTGGTGACCTATGTCAATCAACTGAGAGAGAATAGAACTCTTAATCACTCTTACTTGTCCTTCGCTTAACCACGACGGATCGTGCTCTGTTATATGATGAAGAACTTGCCGAATTGTACACCATATATAACTAGCTCCACAGGAGCAGTTGAGTCGATAAATACACATGGATTTGGTGAATTCAGGCAATCTGTCTTTATTGGCCGTTCTTATTGTAGGGTAGTTGTAGAAGTTAGCATTTAGTCTGTCTGCATTAAATGTTTTTGTACCTCCTTTCTTAATCTCTGAGTCACAATTTCGTCAGTAGGATCACTTAGGAATTGTAATTTTAAGAACAATAATTTCTTCTAAACGGTAGGTACCCTTTTCCTTCTTTTCATCTCTTTCATGTGTTTGTCAATGAATTTCATTGGGTATCCATTCCTACTAAGTAAGTTACGAATATCAACCAATTCATTTACAATAATGTCATCCGAACAAATTATGAGTCAGGATCTTTATCAAGTTCCT